AAAAATTAAGCATTTTATTTTTTGTTTCTTTTCTGTGCACTTTTTTCACTTTAGTATAATATATTGTCTGCATTACGTAACTAAGCAACAAGTCGTTCATTCATTTGTTATAAACAATAAAATTCATATGTTATAAACAAATGAATGAACAAATAACAATCAACTCATTTGTAATCGAAGGTAATTACCTTAAATTTTTAAATTATATTCGTTAACGCCTCGTCTGTGTATACTATGTAGTCGCGTCTTGACGTGGCCAATTCACGAGTGTTTAAAGCTCATAAAACAAAAAAGTTTCTTGAGCCTACCATAGCTGGCAGCACTATCTCCAGTGTGACCATATGTGGCAGGTTCCTGCCATTTTGGCAGGATTAGCCTCTTATTTCACCCTCTGACATGAGTGGTTGACGTTTTATAAAACCTGGCAGTATTTGGCAGTATTGGGGTATTAAAAAAAGGTTTCATTATGGCAACTTAAAATGACGAAAATGGCAACCCGGGATACTACTAGATTGTTTGTATCACATGCAATAAACAACTTTAAAAAAGGTTGTGTATAAAGTTGATAATCTTAAGACGAATTAACACGAGTTAGTACTTTAGTTTGGTATCGCATTAGATATCATAGCAATAACATCTTGTTAATAATATTTCGTGGAAGATAGTAATTATAGGTTGCGGCGATGAAGCGAAAATATGAAAATGCGTATTGAGCGAAGAGGGAGCAAGATCTTTTACTTTCATCGTGGATCTCCAAAGCTTAAAACGATCCAGACTGCAACTGCAAATTGGCACCCCGGCTGTTCGTTTCAAAGGAGCATGCCGCTACTAGTAAACATCAAAAAAATATGAGTGGATTCCACATCCGAAAAAATATTCTCTCAAGTAAATTTAATTAAGACAAAAACACGAAACAAATTTATTTAACCAGATGGAAGTTAGCGTAGAACATTCTTTTTTTTTAACTAAACTGTATGCCAATTAATTGCTCCATAAATGCTCCAGTAGAATCCGAAATTGCTCCACCTCTATTGTTGTTAGTTAATTTATAATTAATTTTTAAAAAATTTAGGTATCGAAAATTTAATTTTGCTATAAAATATAAAATATCTACTTTTTAAAATTAAAGTGTGTGCCAATTAATTGCTCCATAAATGCTCCAGCATAATCTGAAATTGCTCCACCTCTATTGTTATTAGTTAATTTCTAATTATTATTTTTTTTAATTTAGGTATCGAAAATTTAATTTTGCTATAAAATATCTACTTTTAAAAATTAAACTGTATAACAATTCATTGCTCCTTAAATGCTTCAGCAGAATCTGAAATTGCTCCACCTCTATTGTTATTACTTAATTTATAATTATTTAAAAAAAAATATGTATCGAAAATTTAATTTTGCTATAAAACATAAAATATGTTTTTTATAAAATTAAACTGCATGACAATTAATTGCTCCTTAAATTCTCCAGTAGAATCCGAAAATTTTCCGACTACTGCTATTAGTTAATTTATAATTAATTTTGACATAGAGTGATCCTATTTGAGTAATAGCGCCATCATCAATAGAATATAGTAACATTCTATAGTTAAAGTCATGTTATCGAACGAAAATTGATTGACTCTCAAGGTGGTACGTAGAATAGATGCCTAATCGCATAAAACAAAAAAAGTACTGATGGGTGAGTTTTGAAATTATGGATTCTTATGAATGGATTAGACAACCATGTTAATAATATTTTTGTGTTTATGCCATCTAGAGTCTTTTCTACGTACCACCTTGAGAGTCAATCAATTTTTGTTCGATAAAATGACTTTAACTATAGAATGTTACTATATTCTATTGATGATGGCGCTATTACTCAAATAGGATCACTCTATGTCAAAATTAATCATAAATTAACTAATAGCAAAAGACAAAAATTACGAATTCTGCTGGAGCATTAAGGAGCAATCAATTGGCATAAAGTTTAATTAAAAAAAATTATATTTTGTGTTTAATAGCAAAATTAAATTTTCAACACTTAAATGTTTTAAAAATTATTTATGAATTAATTAATAGCAATAGAGGTAAAGCAATTTCGGATTCTGCTGAAGCATTTAAGGAGCAATCAATTGGCATAAAGTTTAATTAAAAAAAAAAGATATTTTATGTTTTATAGCAAAATTAAATTTTCGATACATAATTTGTTTTAAAGTGTATTATAAATTAACTAATAATAATATAGGTGGAACAATTTCGGATTCTGCTGGAGCATTTAAGGAGCAATCAATTGGCATACGGTTTTATTTTAAAAAGTAGATATTTTATATTTTATTTTATATCAAGATAAAATTTTTGATACTTAAATGTTTTAAAAATTATTTATAAATCAACTAATGGCAATAGAGATAAAGCAATTTCGGATTCTGCTGAAGCATTTAAGGAGCAATCAATTGGCATACAGTTTAATTAAAAAAAAATGATATTTTATGGTTTATAGCAAAATTAAATTTTGCGATACTTAATTTATTTTAAAATTAATTATAAATTAACTAATGACAATATAGGCGGAACAATTACAGATTCTGCTGGAGCATTTAAGGAGCAATCAATTGGCATACTGTTTAATTTTAAAAGGTAGATATTTTATATTTTATAGCAAAATTAAATTTGCGATACTCAAATTTTTAAAAATTAATTTTAAATTAAATAATAACAACAGAGGTGGAGCAGTTTCAGATTCTGCTGGAGCATTTAAGGAGCAATTAATTGGCATAAAGTTTAATTAAAAAAAATTATATTTTATGTTTAATAGCAAAATTAAATTTTCAACACTTAAATGTTTTAAAAATTATTTATGAATTAATTAATAGCAATAGAGGTAAAGCAATTTCGTATTCTGATGAAGCATTTAAGGAGCAATCAATTGGCATAAAGTTTAATTTAAAAAAAAGATATTTTATGTTTTATAGCAAAATTAAATTTTCGATACTTAAATTCCTTAAAAATTAATTTTAAATTAACTAATAACAACAGAGGTGGAGCAATTTCAGATTCTGCTGGAGCATTTAAGGAGGAATTAATTGGCATACGGTTTGATTTTAAAAAGTAGATAATTTATATTTTATAATAAAATTAAATTTTCGATACCTAAATTTAAAAAAATAATTATATATTAACTAATAACAATAGAGGTGAAGCAATTTCGGATTCTGCTGGAGCATTTATGGAGCAATTAATTTGCGTACACTTTAATTTTAAAAAGTAGATATTTTATATTTTATAGCAAAATTAAATTTTCGATACTCAAATTTTTTAAAAATTAATTATTAATTAACTAATAACAATAGAGGTGGAGCAATTTCGGTTTCTGCTGGAGCATTTATGGAGCAATTAATTGGCATAGAGTTTAATTAAAAAAAATAATGTTCTACGCTAACTTCCATCTGGTATTTATTTATAAATAAATATTTACTGTCTATCTTGTACGTTAAACATGGCATTGGTGAGCATGGCGATTGCATTGCATTCAAACCAACGAAATATGTTTAATTTTAATTTAAAAAAATATAGCATTTATATGTGTATTTTAACTTTTCTTAGTTTCATACAATGGTATATAAAGTTGGCAGTATTTAGGCATTTTTCACTACAGACTTTGGCAGTATTTGGCAGGTTTTTAACCAAAGTGAGGCAGGATCTGTACTTTAAAGATGGTCACCCTGACTATCTCTAGTTCTTTAGTATAGTACGCGTCACGTAAAAAGAACGCTGGCGGTCAAGCTGCGCATAAGCGATTTATCGGTCTACTTGGTGGTATGAGGTAGGGCGCGGGGCGGGTGAGCCACGCGCCGCATGTTTACCGATGCGCTATTGGTTCATCAGTTGAGCTTTGCTTCCCGCGTATATCCACGTTACGTTCCTTTTAAAAATACCATCGCGCACAAAAGTTTTAAATTACGAAATGGTTTTACATAGAGAAGTGAGAAAAATGATTTATGACGTATACTGTTTTATGAAGAGGGAAGCTGATAATAATGTAGTTAATAATTTAAAACAATGTATGAAACGGACCACAGAGGCAACAAAATGTTCCGAGTCGACAGTGAGACGAATAGTAAAGGGTTCAAAAGATTCGGAATTTCTTACTGTTTTCCGAACTCCCGGCAAAAATAAAAGAAAAAAAACAAAACCAATAACAGACATTGACAGCTTTGACCAGGGTGTTATAAAAAGAATGATCCATAATTTTCACGTTACTGAAAAAGAATTGCCTACCATAGGCAAGTTGCAAAGGAAGTTACAGGATGACATACATTTCCAAGGATCTGCAGCAAGTCTCAGGCGAGTATTGAAAAACTTGGGTTTTAAATGGAAAAAAACGGAAACCAATAGAAAAATCTTAATTGAGCAGTCACAAATTCGATTTCAAAGAATTGAATATCTGAGAAAGATTAAAAAAATATAGAGAGGAAGTAAGACCTATCATTTACACTGACGAATCATACGTCGATAATTCCCATGCGTCTCACCATGCTTGGACAGACGGTTCCACCAAGGGCATTAAAAAACCTGTATCTAAAGGTAGCCGCTTAGTCATAGTGCATGCGGGTGGCGATGCAGGTTTTGTGCCGAATGCTTTACTGACGTTTAAAGCCGGTACAAAAAGCGGCGACTACCATGACAATATGAATTCTGAAAATTACGAGCGGTGGCTCCGTACTCAACTGATACCAAATTTACCGCCTAATTCAGTCGTGGTAGTCGATAATGCATCGTACCACAATAAACAACTCGATGCTGCACCAACGTCCAATTCAAAGAAAGCAGACATGCAAACCTGGCTTCGTCAAAAAGGTATTGAATTTGAAGAGACCATGCTAAAGCCGGAGTTGTACAACTTAATAAAATAATGCAAAGATAAATTTAAGAAATTTAATATCGATGCTATTTTGAACGAAGCAGGACATTCTGTACTTCGTTTGCCCCCATATCACCCGGACCTGAATCCTATTGAAATGGCCTGGTCCCAAATAAAAAGTTATGTTGCCTGTAAAAATGTAACTTGGAACCTGACACGTATAACTGAGTTGATTCATGAAAAAGTAAATTTAATTGGAGCAACAGAATGGGGGAAGCTATGCACGAAGGTAAAAGAAATAGAGGCTGATTACTGTAAAAGCGATCATGTGGTGGACATGATGACAGAAACATTTGCTATCCACATAGGGGATCATGATTCCGACTCAGATGAGGATGGAAGCTCGAGTGACGACAGCGACGACGATGAAATGGCCACTTCTAGCACCAACACCGCGTCCTCATCTGGTTTTCACGTCACGCATGATGACTTAATGGAAGGAGTTTCAACATTACTTTAATTTTATTTCGATTAAACATTCTATAATACATAATTCAAACATGTTTTTAATTCATTTTATTGATATTTTATCTAATATATTTTTCAATGTTATAACTAATAAGAAGAACAAATATATAGGTACGAAGCCACGACCCGCGAGCGAAAGCCTAGTTAAAAAATAAATTAATAGGCACATAACTTTCGTGCGAGACTGTACCCATGCGCAAACACACTCCCACCACTTTCTTCCAGCGTTCTTTTTACGTGACGCGTGTTATAATTGTGTTTTTTCGTGCCACAACGACGAGTAGTATTCCGCCATTTTGTGTTAACTAAAAATAGTTAAAAATTCTGTTATACACAATGGCAAAGAAAAGAATATTGTTAGAAAAGCTCATTAATCTTTTGGGAGATTCGGACGATTTTATTTACATTTCTTATTTTTCCAGATTGTTTTGTTTTTACCGTTTTCACTAAAAGGCTAAAAGCGTCATCAAAAGTTTTATGACTATCGGAAAATAAATAAATCTCGATGAAACTTGCGGTACCACGAGCGGGTACACGAGTTATTTAATTGTTGTCATATTTACCAGTGTTTGGCGATAGAACGAGCGTCTATACATAAACATGGTACCAACAATGTCGACAATTTATGAGATCACATAATATAACCCCTGTTTTGTGTTTTGCGATAGAACGAGCGTCTATACATAAACACAGTAAAAAAACTAATTTTCTTGCGGTGCCACGAGCGGGTACACGAGAATATTCCTAAAATATAAGGGGCCTTTCTTTTGCAGAAAAACATTAAAATTTGTACTTAATTTTGGTTAAGGAAAAGATGTTTTTTAATATAGCCTGTCATAAGTCCTTTTCTCACAACATCACAACTTTTCAGTTGACAAACCACGGAAAAGACGGGTGATCGACAGTGACTCTGACACTGAAAACGAAAGCCAAACGAAGAGAAAAAGAATAATTGTTCCAAGTGATAGTGAGGAAGAAAATAATGAAAGAATGTCCTCAAATGTTCTGCAACTCTTAGGGGAAGAACCAAAATATGAAAATATCTTGGAAATCCATATAGATGTCGCAAACATTTGGAATAACATTGTCACTAATGGCTTAGATAAAGAAAGTAAAGACAAAATTAATAAAAAGATACCTACCCTAAAAAACTGTGATGTAACTGCACCAAATCTTAACTCGGAAATCTTGGCAACGTTATCAGCCTGTGCAAAAACTAGAGATGAGAGACTTAGGGAAAAACAGAATCAAATTAGTTACATTATAGCAAATTTGAACTGTGTCTTAAAATCATTGCTTGTCAAAAATGATTCTAATAAAGAAGAAATAGAAAAAATTAGTGATAGCCTCCGTCTCCTTTGTGACCTTCAATTCATGGAGTCAGAAACCCGAAGGGCCGTGATATTACCAGGGCTCAGTAAAAGTATTAAAAACAGCTTGGAAAAATGTAAAGCATCAGATGGTTTGCTCTTTGGTAAAAATCTTTCTGAAACTATAAAAGAAAGTAAAAGTATTGAACGCTCTTCAAGAGGATTGAAGAAAGCTTCAGAAAAGCCTAATGCCCCTATTAACAATCCTTTAAACTCCTGGGGCCCGTCCACATCATCGAAGAGGAAACCACATCAGGGCGGGCAATACCAGCTTTACCATCCTCACCATTCTTCTCAGAGAGTTCATCACTCTGCAATGACACAAGCTCGAAACCGGCCAATGCGAGGCAAACCAAGGCAGTGGAACAGGAAAAAAGATTAGAGGTATGCAGTGCAGCAAAGTTACCATTGTTTTTTAATAATTGGCTAAGTATTTGCAAAAGCTATACCATTTTAGGGTGGGTTAAAGATGGTTATAAAATACCTCTATTACATCATGTAAATCAATCTAACCCCCCCTTAAATAACTCCTTTAATAGGTCAGAAATTACTATTATTAAAAAATGTATAAAACATTTGATGAATATAGGTGCTGTAAAAATATGCACTCCTATTAAAGAACAATATCTTTCAAAAATCTTTGTAGTTTCTAAACCAGATGGATCTTATCGTTTTATTTTAAATCTGAAATCTTTTAATAAACATGTTCAATACAATTCTTATATGGCAAATATTGATTTGAAAGATGCATATTTTTGTTTACCAATACACAGCACTTCTCGTAAGTTCTTGAGGTTTTATTTTAACAACAAATTATATGAATTTCAAGTGCTTCCTTTTGGACTGTCGTCAGCTCCTTATGTTTTTACCAAATTAATAAAACCCATTGTTACATACCTAAGAAAACAAGGTTTTTCATCGGTTAATTATTTAGATGATTTTTTATGTATTGAAAATTCATTTGAGAAGTGTGAACAAAACGTCAAAGCCACCTGTAAATTACTGGAATCTTTAGGTTTTATTATTAAATATAATAAAAGTAAACTCATACCAGAGAAAAATTGCAAATTCCTTGGCTTTATACTAGATTCAGAAAACTATGTGTTGGGTATACCAGAAGACATGATGAAGAAATGATCTTTATAAAAAACTAAATACATTTTGTAAAGCTAAGACATGTACTATACGTTGTTTTGCTTCTTTGATAGGTAGCTTAATTGCAGTGTGTCCTGCCATTCCTTATGCCATGTTGTACACAAAAAGACTAGAACGTTTTAAATTTTTGGCCCTTCAGGCAAATAAGGGAAATTATGATAGCAAATTGGTTTTACAAAGTGACATCATAGAAGATTTTACTTGGTGGAAAAATCATATACACATATCCACAAATCCCATTAGAGAGGCTAAGTATAAAAAGGAAATATTTACCGATGCCTCCTTAACAGGATGGGAGGTGGTCTGCAATAATGAAAAGCTTCATGGTTATTGGAATAACAAGGATAAAAAGCATCATATAAACTATTTAGAGCTTAAAGCTATATATTTTGCCTTACATTGTTTGTGTAAAGACCTAAGAAATTGTCAAATTTTGTTACGCTGTGATAACACCACAGCAATTTCTTATATAAATCGAATGGGTGGGATACAATACCCACATTTAAATAACTTAGCTAGAAAAATTTGGCAGTTTTGTGAAGATAAAAATATATTCATTTTTGCATCATATATCACTTCCACAGAAAATTATCTTGCAGATAGAGAATCTAGGAAAATAAATGAAAGCACCGAATGGGAACTTCATGCCCATGCATATAAAGAAATTATTGCTAGACTAGGTTCTCCGTGTATAGATCTTTTTGCATCAAGAATAAATACAAAATGTAAATTGTTTGTGTCATGGCATATGGAACCAAAATGTTGGGCTGTTGATGCATTTACCATTTCATGGAAAAATCTATATTTTTATGCATTTCAACCTTTTTCTCTCATATTAAAATGCTTAAGAAAAATAGAAGATGACAATGCAATAGGAATCATAGTGGTTCCGAACTGGCCATCGCAACCTTGGTTTCCATTGTTTAAATCCATGGTTAAATCAGAAATGATCTTTTTTCATCCTTACAAATAATTATTTATTATCTCCTTTCAGGAGCTGTCATCCACTTCACCAGAACCTTACATTAGTTGCAGCCATTGTATCAAAAACATGTATTTAAAGAAAGGCTATTCTGAAAAGACTATTTCTATTATAATAAATTCCTTATCTAAAAACACTTTAAAACAATATGATTCCTCTCTAAGACAGTGGTGGAATTTTTGCCAAAATAATATTAAAGATCCATATCAAAAGGATATACCAAGTATTTTATCGTTTCTTACTGAAAGATTTGAAAGTGGAAGTGCTTATGGTACCATTAATTCTGTTAGATCCGCATTATCACTGTTATTTAATTGTGATTTGGGTAATCATAAAGACATAAAGAGGTTTTTTGCTGGATTATACAAAATAAGACCAAACAAACCAAAATATGAAGAAACGTGGGATCCAGCCCAAGTCTTAGAATATTTAGCCAATTTTTATCCCAATATTAATTTATCTTTAGAAGTATTAACAAAAAAGTTGGTCATGTTATTAATGTTAGTTACTGCTCAGAGACTGCAAACTATGGTTTTAATTAAAATAGAAAATATCAAAATTGAATCATCCGCTGTAAAAATTAGAATCCCAGATTTGACTAAAACGTCAAGAAAAAATAAATTTCAACCATTACTCCATATACCTTTTTTCAAAGATAATGTATGTATATGTCCAGCACAAACTTTAATAGACTATTTACAAAGAACGATTGAACTTCGTCAGTCTGTTCAAAACTTGTTTATAAATTTTAAAAAACCTCACAATTCAGCATCAACACATACTTTAGCTAGATGGATCAACGATATTTTGTCAAAATCTGGCATAGATACCTCATTATTTACCGCTCATAGTACTAGACATGCCTCAACATCTTTAGCAAATCGCAGTGGTATTAATATTGACCATATCAGAAAAACTGCCGGTTGGACTAATAGATCTAGCACATTTGCAAAATTTTATAATAAGCCTATAATTGATCAAAATAATTTTAGTAATTGTATACTAGCTAGTATAAATAAGTAAAATGTTACTTTAAACCTTAGTTTTATCAACACTGATTTTTTGTTTTGTCTGTTATATTTCATTAAATAATTAAACAAATTACCGCAATCTCATTCTTTAAACATCTACATAGTAAACAGACGAGGCGTTAACGAATATAATTAAGTGATCAAAGTAACTTACCTGTAAGTGAACTTCGATCATAATTATATGAAGTTAACGCCTCGTCTGTAGGGTAGCGGTGTGCGACTCGAGTTATTTGACTCGAGTAACTCGAATCAAACCTTAAACGAGTCTACTCGAGTTCAGTTTTAAGCAACTCGAATCAACTCGGTCGTCCGAACGCAAACCGGACGTTAAGCTGAGAACAAATTATCGGACGCGTCCGTCAGCCGCGGCTGACAGTCGCGGCTTAGCGGTGTGCACGGTAGTTAAGACGGCGTCTTCGGACGCCTCACTTCAGTCATTCTATAAAGGTGTTTCAATCGAAAAACACGACAAGCAGCGACAGCGAGGACGAATTTATAGAGCTAGCGGCAGCTGCCTTATGTTGTCCTCAAAAAAAAGTGAAAAGGAGTGTTTGGGTCCACAATATTAATGTAAAACGACTCGAGTATGATGAATTTCATACATTGTATCCAGACTTACAAAAATATAATAAACGTTACAAAATGTACTTAAGAATTAATGAAAACCAATTTAATTTTCTGCTTAGTCTGATTGAAAATTATGTTTAATTCAGCAGCAATTTGCTCCCACACTTCCTGTTTTAAAGTAGCATTTATGTGGCCACGAACACATTCAATTAAATTTTCTTCGTCTGACATGTCGCGAGCGCGGTCGGTTCGTTTGTGACGCTCGAAACGTCCGCGGACGCGTCCCGTGGCCTGTGCACACCGTCCGAGGACGCACAAATATCCAGCCGGCTAGATTCTGTTCGGACGTCTGAACGCTCAAGGACGACCCAAGGGCACGTCCGCGGCTTACGACCGATAGTTTGCACAGTGTAGAATTAAATGTACTGGCTAGATTCAAATAAGCTGCGTCTGTCAGTCGCGGCTGACGGACGCGTCCGATAATTTGTTCTCAGCTTTATACGCGGTGTTCCGAGTTACACACGCGAGTTGTTCCGAGTTACACACGCGGCTCGCGCGCGCGTTTCGTTAGGCGTTGCAACTCGCATCAACTCGAGTTGAGTGAATTATTATTTATTATGTTACGATACACACGCGCGCGCGCCGTTCGTAAGGTGTTGCATCGTACTCGTATCGACTCGAATAGATTATAGAACTCGGGTTGAGTCGGGCTCGCTCGGCCAGGATCGGAACGGAAACGGAATTGCGCGAATGAAAAACTGCGTTGAATGTTTATTTTGATTGACATTTTTTTTTCTTTTATATTTATTTCGTTTATTTTATTTATAACTACTACTATTTATAACTATTTATAACTATAACTTGCTATAATATAAATTAAGCAATTATTTAAAAACTAAACCATTGACATTTTGTTGTTTAATTTTATTAGTTGATTGACCGTTAGCGATCCGCTCGTGACCGGACTTTTTTGTTTTGTTTTGTGTTTTGTTCGTAATGGCGCCGAATAAAAGAAGTGTCGTTTGCAGTGTTGCCGATTTGTGGGGAATTCCCCAAACTGCGGGGAATGTCAAGTTGAACGGGGATTTTTTGGGGACTGGCATTATTCGGGGAAAATGTGGGGATTTTAACATCTTACTACTTAACTACTTTTGCGAGAATTCCAAACATTTTAAATATTTTTTTAGTTTAGATACTTATGGATAACGGACGAGTCAATACTCTTCATTGCGCCATATTTAAATTTCGGCATCTTTATTCTTTTGCCAATCGTAAAATTGTTTTGTGTCTTTTAATGTTTTTAGGTTTTATACATTTCCTTCTACAGATTTGGTGTTTATTCCGGATACATTAAAAATACTCTGACGACATCTAGTGGCTATTGTGAATATTAATATAGAATTTTCATGGACTTATATAGTTTATGGTTCAGTTTCTTTTTTTATCTGTAGCAGTATATTCCATTAAAAGGCTACTTAACAGAAGCAGTCTTCTCAGATTCGTCGAAGACTACCGAAGAAATGCTGATTACAATGAACAACCAATTCACTGTGGTATATTTGGAATTTATGTCTTACGTACTTGGACTGGTAACAAAATATAATGTCTTATTTCAATCAGAAAAACCCCTTCTTCACAAATTGAAACCAGAAGTCGAAAACCTTTTGAAAACATTGTCTTCAAATTTCATGAAAATTAGCTATATCAAGTCCTGTGCTAATATTTTAAACGCAGACTTAAAAAATCCAACTATTTACTAAGTTTAAATGTAATATATATTGGATCAAAGGCTGGAGAAAGTATGGAAAATTTAAAAAATGATGAAAATTTACCTCGTGCTGCTATTTCAGATTTCTATAGAACCTGCCAGGAGTTTTATATTAAATTGACATCAGACATTACCCAGCGATTTGATTTCGGGGATGTTTTATTTTCTATTATATCTGCTGTAAATCCATCAGAAGCTAAACAGTTTTTGTGTTTTATAAATTTGTGACCGCAAAAAAATTGGATGACGAGTGACGAACTCACGCATTGTTAAATTTTGATCAACATGGGCTTGAAATATCATGGAGATAACATCGAAGCCGAAAGTTACTGGGGTAAAATGTCGTCTTAAAAATGATGCGGGAGAATACATGTTTCCAAACATAAAAATTGTTACGTCTTTGTTGCTCATACTGCCATTGAACATTGTCATACTCAAACGCATCGGTTGAAAGAAAATTTAGTGCGCTTTGAAAACATAAAACTGCAATCGGCTAAATACAGATACTGTAGTATCTTTAATGGCAACAAGAGAGGGGATAAAAAATTAGGCAGCAGTGTCAAGCTTAACAATCCTTCGATCAAAATACTTACATCAAACGTATGAAAAAAGTTTAAAAATAAATATTATTTAAATAGTTAAAACTTGTTTCATTGTTTAAAATAATATTGTGGGGAATTTGTGGGGAATCAGCAGATTTTTGTCCCCAAATTTGGGGAATTTAATTCGGATTTTTGGGGAATTACATACATTGGCATTGGCAACCTTGGTCGTTTGGCAATTCTTTGATAAAAATAAAGATAATAACAAAGTTAAATGCAAATTGTATTCATCTGTATATAAAGACGTAGGAAATACTACAACATTGGTGAAACATATAAGGAAAAGACATTTAGTTCAGTACAGTGAAGCGATTGGACAAAATTTACCCAGGGAACTAAATGAAAATGTACCTGAACAGATTTGTACTAATTCTTTAATTAGCGGAGCAGAAGCCGGTCAAATTCAAAACGATATCATTTTGCCGCCATCACAGATACGAAATGTCACAGAGCCCAACGAACCCCTCCGAAGCGCCCAAAACAAATGCGTTTAATTGCTCCTACTAAAATCAACCAAAAAGTAGGAGATGATGCGCTATTAGATTTGATTGTTTTAGATATGCAGCCACTACAAATAGTTGAAAACGAAGGTTTTAAAAAGTATTCGCTAAGATTAAATCCGGATTATGTGTTGCCATCACGAAAAAAGTTGACCCAAATGCTGGAAGATAAATACAAAATATGCCGTTCAGAAGTTATTGGCAAATTACAAAGTGTGGAACATATAGCTCTGACAACTGATATATGGAGTTCAGACAGTCAAAAGAGCTTCATATGTGTAACTGCACATTTTATAAATAATTCAAAACTGCACTCTATGGTAGTGTCGACGACTGAGCTCTCCCAACATCACACTGCATTAAATATTGCAAATGCATTGCGGACTACATTAACAGAGTGGGAGATATACGATAAAGTAGTTACGATTGTAACTGATAATGCTTCGAGCATGAAAAAAGCAGTCAAGGATTATTTACAAAAAAGGAACCATTTCTGTGTCGCACACACACTAAATCTTGCCGTTAAAGACTGCATTAGCAAAGATAGTGAGAGTGAGACGGACCATAATAGACATTTAAAAAATGCTGCAGTGCTGGATATTGTTTCAAAAAGTCGTGCAATAGTAACCCACTTTAAACAGAGTATTAAATCATCTAATACACTTAGAGACATGCAGAGCCAAATGAACTTAGAGATAATTAAACTAAAACAAGACGTACAAACAAGGTGAAACTCTACTTTCTATATGTTTGAAAGATTGTTAAAAGTCAAACCTCCTCTATCCGCTACTTTATCACTTATTGACTCACCTCCGCCAAACTTAAATTCAACTGAATGGCAGATTCTCGAAGATTGTGTGGCTCTTTTACAACCAGTGGAAAAAATCAGCACCGTATTATCTGGGGAGTCTTACCCGACGCAGTCTATCATTATTCCCCTAGTAAGAGGATTACAGAGTGCTATAATAAAGAAGAGACCAAGCACTGAACCTGGAAATCACTTACAGAGGTCATTATTGGAAATTATAGACAAAAGACTAGGTGTTTATGAATCGAATCGGACTGCAGCAAAGGCGACCATTCTAGACCCTCGATTTAAAAAAAATGCATTTGGGACCATTAGTACTGCAGAAAATGCAGTTAAATATGTATTAGAGGAACTGGTTCAATGTCAGCCAGTTCAGGGGCAAACATCAGAACGAGCCATTGCTTCGACCTCTGAAGTTTCCATTTCAAATAAGGCCGATGACTCGGATATATGGGAAGACTTTGACAGGAAAATAAGTGAAACTGTCATGCATCAGACTCCAATCTCTTCTGCTTCCATTGTTTTAAGACAATATCTAGATCTGCCATATCTAGACAGAAAGCAAAACCCAATACATTTTTGGAAGCAAAGGGAAAATGTATATCCAACCCTATGCCGGATGGCATATAAATATTTATGCATTCCCGCTACCTCAGTGCCGTCGGAACGACTTTTTTCAAAGGCTGGTTTACTTACGAATCAAAGAAGGAACAGACTCATGCCAAAAAAAGTTGACCAAATATTATTTTTAAATTCTTTCTGTACCGAAAAGAGGACGTATTGAAGTGATATTATGTTATTTTTTTTTATCTTCCTACTTATATTAATATACATCTTATTTCAATGTTATTGAAATATATTTTTCCTATGTTATGTGATGATTTTATAAATAGGTATTAGAGGAAAACAGAGTTATTTTGTTCTAAGGAAAGACTTTTTTTGAAATTTTAATTTTGTTTTGTTGTTGTAATTGAGATTTTTAAACATTGCTAGTCTTAGTTTTTACTATATGCATAAAAGTATTATATAACAACATTATGTTCCTAGTTTAATAACTGTGTTAAAATACTGTAATATTTATTAGTTTAAGGATTTTTTAAACACTGAAAAGTAAATGCCATTAATATCTCTAAGTGTACTTTAATAAATAAATATTTTTGATTGCAAATACCTGCTATACTTCTTTCGTACATATATGATAATATATGCAGTCGATTGCTAATCGACTTAATCGAGTACAAACAGTTTCGTGTTGCGAATCGACTCGAGCAGCCATATCATAATATCACAATTGATGTCTCCGTGGCGCAGTTGCCAAGGTATCGGCTATCGGCTTCGGCGTCGGGGGTCATGGGTTCGATTCCGACACGGGACAACTATTTGTGTAACCCACAGATAGCTGTTCGGTATTTGGGTGTTTGTCCGCGTGAAATTTATGTTTATAAAACGTCATTACAACACAGGATAATGTTATTCTAAAGTAAGGCAATGTTTTAAAAAAAATAACATCATTATTATAACTATCAGTCTCGAACTCGAGCCTACTCGTGGTCCCCGAGTCGGCCAAGTCGCCTCTCTTTCCCTACAGCAGACATCGATTCGAGTCAACTCGAGTTACGATTCGAGTCAGTAGCCATATGAACTCGAGCAACTCGAGTCAAAAAAAATCCAACTCTTCACATCAGTACTGTAGGGATGGCGATCTGAAATCGATTAATCGAAGAATCGATTTTTGGAACCTACAAGATCGATTTTTTAAATCGATATGTAGTACTGAATCGATTCGGTGAATCGATATTTCACCCTTGAAAATCGACATTCGATTTTTTTGGTATAAACCATAAAACTATTTACAATTAATTGAAGATATCCGTATTATAAGAGTGCTGCCGGTTAAAGAATTAATTATTCAAAAACTCGCGAGATGGCTGTATGTTTATATTCCTTCGCATCTCTTGAATAAAAAAAGTTACATTTGTAGTCTTTGACTCTTTGACTTTTTGCGTCATGCCAGCCATAATTTCTTTTTGGTATTTATTTCATTTGTTTATTGTTGATTGATTGAGTGATTCTCGTAAAGCGATATAAATACTAATTTTTATGTAGTGTTTGTTGCGGAATAATAACTAATTGAGACTAAGTAGGTAAGTAAAGCGCTTTATTTTGTTTTTTACTTTCGTTCTATTATTTTTAGTTTAATCTATTAGTTGTGATCATTAAATCTAACCATGTATGTAATTCATTTACGTTTAGATACGAATAATCAATATTGGGCATTGAAATAACTAATAAGTAAGTCATATGTGGAATTCCTTAAGGAAGTATGCATGTATTTTCTTAACTCTGTAAAATTTCTAAATGTAGAAAATAAATGTCTTATTTTATACTTTATCTGTTAGTTTGACATAGTAATGAAAATATTTTTTATTATCGAATTACCTGATTTTACTGATAAGAGATCGTTAAATTATAATATGTACCTTGTTTTTAATAAAATATTACATTATAAACGAAAACTTGAAAAAAAGATCGATTTTTCGGAAATCGATCTTATAGACCTCGATTTTTTTGTGAATCTATTCATTAGGTCACGATTCGAATCGATTTAAAAATCGATCTTTTTCGAAAAGAATCGCCATCCCTACTCGTCTGTGTACAACCCTTCCCTATATAATGTGAATATATAGCCCCACCCATTAATTGCTATGTTTAATTATTTTGTTTTTATTCTTTGAACTCAATGACTAGAGATAGTGCTGCCAGCTATGGTATGCTCAAGAAACTTTTTTGTTTTATGAGCTTTAAACACTCGTGAATTGGCCACGTCAAGACGCGACTACATAGTAAACACAGATGAGACGTTAACTTCATATAATTATGATCGAAGTTCACTTACAGGTAAGTTACTTTGATCACTTAATTATTAAAAGTTATTGAATTATAAAAATAAAAATGAGTTCTGAAGATTCTCACAGTAAATTAGGAGATGAGAAGATGAGATTTCTCAGAGATTAGAAAACGCAGCAAGACAAATTATTAATCATTTACTGCCTACAATGTCTAAAGCTCGTTACAACTTATGTTATAACGAGTATTTTATTTATTTATTTATTTATTTAACTTTTTTGAACCTTATAAAATATATAAGTACAAAAGGCGGACATAATGCTTAAAGCATTCTCTGCCTGTCAACCTTGAGGAGTGGAAAAACATCGAAGGCGGTTATTATAATACATAACAGTACAGAATAAGAAATATAATGAATTTAGGAATTATAGCATATAAACATAAAAATAAAAAATACAAATACCATACATACATATACATATATATATATATATATATATATATATATATATATATATATACAAACCACATACACACATATATATATACACAAATTCACATATAAATACATATATACACACAAATATACATATATACGTAAAAAACATATTATGATGAAATTAACTACTAACACAGATTAACTCAGATGATGACGCCAACTTAGGAGTTCTTTACGACTTTCAGAAAATGTTCTTTAACATACTTTTTAAATGTTACTTTGTTGGAGCGTTTTCTCAAAGTTTCAGGCAGTGCATTCCAAAGTCGCGCAGCTCGTACAGCAAACGAGGAAGAAGAGAAACCGGAACGGTGAAGTGGAATGGAGAGCGTAAGAGTCTCCGAAGAACGTAGAGGTCTATTATGCGTATCAGATAGAAATTGAAACTTACGTTTCAAATAGTCGGGACAACGATTGTCGAATAAAATAGAAAAAAGTGTGAGAAGTGTCCTGACTTGCCTCCGTTGGCGAATGGGAAGCCAATTTAGCTGAAATCTAAAGGAGGAAACATGGTCAAACTTGCGAAGACAGAAGATGAATCGGACACAGTTGTTTACGAGACGATCCAGCTTGTCTAGAAGGTTCTCATTAAGATCAGTACAACACACATCAGCATAATCAATAATGGGCAAAATAAGAGACTGCACCAGAGTTATCTTTACCTTGACCGGAAGGAAGTTTCTAAGGCGATTTAGGGCACCCAACTTAGCAGTAACTGTAGCACTTATTGTTTGAATGTGAGTGGACCAATTGAGAGTTGAGTCCATACAGAGGCCTAGGTTTTTCACAGTGCTGGAATAAGGGATGCATGATCCATCAAACATGACAGGAGCGACAGAACAAATATCAAGTTTAGATAACTGACGAGCACTTCCTATTAAAATTGCTTGGCATTTGTTAGGATTCACTAGAATGCCAAATTTGCTAGCCCAATTGCTTAAATTTAATAAATCTGTATTAATATTGATAACAGCATTATCAATGTGATCCACATCAGTCTGAGTATAAATTTGCAAGTCGTCGGCGTAGAAATGGTAAGAACAGCAAAGTTGAGAGGAAAGGAAGTTAATAAAAATAGAGAACAATAAAGGAGATAATATTCCACCCTGTGGCACGCCAGATACAAGCTGACACCAGTCAGACAAATGATTACCAACTCGAACAGCTTGTTGGCGACCACAAAGGTAGGAAGAGAACCAATTTAAAGCAATGGAGGAGAAGTTTAGATTACCGAGCATAGCGAGGAGAATATCATGGTCAACCATGTTGAAGGCATTAGAAAAGTCCACGAGAACAAGCACAGTGACCTTTCTATTCTCCAAGCCATCCCGAATGTCCTCTGTAACTTTAAGAAGTGCAGTGGTGGTGCTATGTCCGGGACGAAAGCCCGACTGAAATTGAGTGAGCAAGTTATTATTATATATAAAACCTGATACTTGCCGGTGAACTATAGATTCCAGGATCTTTGATAAGAATGGAAGAATAGAAATAGGTCTATAATTATTGAGTTGCAAGGGGTTTGAAATTTTAGGAAGCGGAATTATATAGGCTTTACACCACAAAGAAGGAAATACCCCTGACAACAGAGAAAAATTAATGATGTGAGTAATGACTGGAAGAAAGAGTTCGAGAACTAAAGAGATCATAGTACGACTCACATTATCACAACCCACTGCTTTTGATTTAATAGAAGCAAATGTTTTACGAACATCGTTAACAGAGACAAGCGAGAATAAGAAGGGTATTTGTAAAGGTTTGGCCTTGGAATTAATTTCTAAGATTGACTGGGACTTAATAACTGGAGAGAGTGAGGAACCTGTAGAAAAATAGGAATTTATGTCATTTAGAGGGAATGGGATATTATGTTTCATAGTGGAGGATTTACATAGACCAAGAGAATTAAGAAATTTCCAAGTATCCGCCGAAGAAGCACTAGATATATTATCAAAGAAGTAACGACGCTTTGCCGCCCTTACCATTTGGTTGCAACGATTGCGAGCAATTTTGTACAAGTCCCAATTCTCATTGCTCCTGTCACGCTTAAACCTTCTGAAAGCTCGGTTGCGTCGAGTCATCGCCATGCGCACACCCTTCGTTATCCACGGAGCTGGAGGCCGCTTAGCCCTAATAGATTTCACCGGTGCATGCGCATCAAACAGTTTCAGTGTTAATTTAGTGAAAATAGATACTTTATCATCAACTGATGACGCACAATACACAGGCGAGAAGTCGATGGCCTTTGCATCAATCAGAAGCTTCGTTGGGTTAACTTTATTGTAACAGCGAACCAAAAGTACCTCGGGTTCAACTTTTGCAAACTTCAACCTATATGCAAGGTAAAGTAAATCATGACGCGAAAAGCCGGAAGCTGACAACTGACCATATTTATTGACTAGATTAGGACAGGACGTGATTATTAGATCTAGCCAGGTATCCGGGGAGTCAAGGTTATGGTGAGTAGGAGAGCAGGGAAGGATGGATAAATTTACTGAAGACAAGATATTTATGAGCTTACTTGATTGCAAAGAAGTTTTGAGGAGGTCAGTATTGAAGTCGCCCATGATAATGTGATGTGTATAGTCTGCACATATAGAATCTAAGACCATTTCTAGGCTGGAGAAGTAATCGACAGAAGGAGGACAGTAAACAACCCCAAGTGCTAATTTGGAACGCCCCACCTGAATTTCCAAGAATAAATATTCAGCCGAAGCAGAGTATTGTGAAGGTGAGGATGCAATTACAGAATAACGTAAGTCGGACCGTAGATAAATTGCAACACCTCCCCCACCCTTACCTAATCTATCATTTCTAATCAAGACAAAGCCTGGTAAGCTGTAAGAAACATTTGAAAGAGAGGGCTTCAGCCAGCTTTCAGAAATTAGAATGGCCTGCACATTTGAAGAGGCAGAAGTGAAAGTATCTAAAAGATCGGAGTAATGAGAGGGTATGCTCTGTGCATTCAAATGGCAGACTTTAAAAGAAGAGGGGAGATGTTCCAAAGATTTATCAAGCACGTTGCGGAGAGTTTCCGGCTCATCGAAAGAGTCAAGGCTTGTTGAAGAATCGTTAGCAGAATAGAATGAATCATCATCGGACATTATAAACAAATATACATAAATAAGTAAAATATAAAATATAAGTAAATATCAAAATAACACGTATATATTATAATAAAAAAAAATAATAAAAAATAAAAAAAAGCAAAATTTTAGCATGGCAACGCAGGCAGAATACCACTTATTTTAGTGAAAGTGTAATTTTGGTGTATGTACTTTCATGAACTGTCAAGAATCCACAAGCCAATGACGTTGTGCTATACTAAGAACGACCATAACAAACATTTTTTTTGGACTTCAATTAGGTGATATGTCTGATCATTCAGCACACAACTTATCATCAACAAATCCATCTAAGGGTAAAACACCGTAAAAATTAAATCCAAGTCAACGACAGAAATTTTAAAATGTTAAAAATTGTATCGAGCGTGCAAAGAACATGGAAAGTCGGAGATGAAGAAAAATAGTCCCAATTCAAGCCAGCTCGAGGATGACGAAGCTGATCATTTAGTAGTGAATTCTTCATTCGTAACGTTGAAGAGGTGCAAAATTGGGCACATTACTTTAACAAGGGCCAATCCAACTCCAACCGAGAGCATAAATATATATATTAATTAATATTTATTTCAAGTTAATTGCTCGAATCACCTGAAAATGTTCCTTCATTCATAGTTAATTTATGTTATTCATTTAATTTGTTAATAATAATTATATTTTCATTAATAAAAATAAAAATATTATTTATGAAATATTATATAATAATATTCATTGTTAACAAAACATTGTGAGATTTAAAATGTATTATGGCATATACTTTTGACATTTAAAAACAATAGAGCTAGAAATTTGATGCGCAAGAGTACTAAATTAATAAGTCATGAAGTCAATCGCGAGGGAATGTGGCACTTTCGTCCCTGAAAGTAGGGTCCGAAATAAAATCTATTTAGATTTTATAAATATAACTGTTAACTTTTAAGTGAAAATATCTTGTTTTATTATGGGGACGAAAAAGGATAGCCCCTTTGGAATCACCTTCAACAAGTTGTTTCCAGCAAAACGTCGAAATGTGACTACTGCTCCCGAATATTGGCAATTTCTTCTGGGTGAATAGTAAGCCTGAGTTGACATATGAAAACCATCCATCCTACGATTCAAATAAACAGTTAATATTCGTTCCCAGTAGAAATGTGGATAATGAGATGTCAGTTCCATCATGCAGTGAAAATTTAGCACAAGTTCAGACGACAACTAATGAACTGTCAATACAATTGAGAGTTCCAAATAGACTGCTTTAGCAGGCAGGTTGTCCCATGACAGACTACGCTGTATCAAAAAAACATTGCCAATAAAACGAATGCACGTGGATAGTGAAATGTCGGTAGAGTCAGTTCCATCATGCAGTGAAAATTTAGCACAAGTACAGACGACAACTAATGAACTGTCAATACAATTGAGAGTTCCAAATAGACTGATTTAGCAGGCAGGTCACCCCATGACAGAATTTTAGTTTACTTTAGGTTTCTTTTCCATTAATAGCCTACGAGCTGAACAGCGTGCCAGCTTAATACAAATGTGTATAATTAAGTGTTACGACGTTGGTGTCAATATAGTTGCACTAACGTTTGATGGTTGTTCAGCAAACGTAGCAGCAGCTGAAATTCTATGTTGCAATTTTCAAAACATTGATAACTTAAAAACCACTTTTTCTCATCCGGCATGCAGAAACAAAAGAGTTGCTGTTTTTTTTTTCTCGATGCGTGTCATATGCTTAAGCTAGTGAGGAATAAAAGACAAAAAAAGTTTTGTTTAGTAACGGCAAACAAACTGATAGTACGTCATATTTCTTTCAGGAATCAAATAATGAAAGTTAACCTTGCAACCCAATTATTAAGGCGAAGTGTAGTAAAAGCGCTGATATTATGCTCAGAAATGCTAACTGGAAACTTTAAGAACGTTGAAGCTACTGTACAATTTATCGTAACGTTTAACAATTTGTTTATAATCTATAATTCGTCCACTTATAAACAAGGATTCAAACGACCACTTAGTGTAGAAAATAAAAATGAGATATTTAATTTTCTGTATAAAGCAGAAGCTTACATAAAGTTACTAAAAATTTACAATAAAGTTAAAATTATCAGAGGAAAGGGAATAAAATAAATATTAGTAAAACAATAGTCACGAAAGCTAAATGCAAATTGGGATTTCTTAGTCTTTTGATAGACATTTAGAGTTTGAAATACTTGTACACAGAATTGATTCAACAAAATAAAGTAATGAATTTCTTGTCTACGTAAAGGTTGAGTCAAGACCATATCGAACTTTTTTTTGGACTTATCAGGCAACACAGCGGGCACAATAACAATCCTACTACTGAGCAATTTCGTGGTATATATAAAAAACACTTTGCCACTTAGAACTACGGAGCAGTTTTACGGGAAATTGCTTGCTTATAGACAATTATTCAATATTGAGTTGTATATCAGCTCTTGAAACAATTAATGTGACCACACCAGGATTCCGCGACCAGCATCAGTTTGCTGAATCAACGATAAGTGAATCGCAATCAGCTGAGGACGAACGATGTCAAATTAATAGTGACATTCTGTCAACTTTATTAGATGAAGAAAAAAAATATAAGTGAGATCTCACAGCAAATTGTCGGGTATATATCAGGGTGGGTCGTTAAGAAAATGGTTAAAAAAATTAAATGTCAAATATGTTGCAGCGCTTTGATGAGTAATCAAAAACTAAGTTTAGTAAGGCTTTAAGAATGATTTCTTATATTTACGCGAACACTACACATTGAATAAAACTACCCTTACGAATTTTATCGCGTTTAATTAAGTTATTTTATATTCCCGACGTTTCGGTTGCTTTCCAGCAACCGTGGTCACGGCGGAATGAAATAACTTATAACGAAAACGAAATAACGGGAATATAAAATAACTTAATTAAACGCGATAAAATCCGTAAGGGTAGTTTTATTCAAGGCTTTAAGAAACTTAGGCGGCTTGTTTTTATCTTCGCGCGATGTATTTGACATTTGTATTAAAACAGAAGCGTTTCTAAAGCTTAATAAAAATTACAAGGCAATAATTATTTTCACAATTAACCCGGCGGTACTCGCTGCTGGGTAAAAAATACCACAGAGTACCTAAATCACGTGATATTTTTATTACTAAACATGGTGGCAACTCACGACTTTAAGTACCTTCTGGCCAATAGTTAACACGCGCGTGCGTCACCGGGCGGCCAGTTCGCGCGCGGCGCTTGGCGACAACGGACGTTTAAAGTGAGTATGGGTGAAAAATACCCGGTAGCGACGGTTCTTGTTACATTTTTTTTTATGTTATTGGTGGTTTTTTTTGTTATTATTTTGTTTTAGAGCTGGTTCATGATGAGTTCCCTACTGACGGATCGAATTATAGAAGAATGTCTAGAACAAGAAGATAGTGAAGAAGAAAATGTGTCAGAAATAGAAGATTTTGAGGAGCATAGTGATCATGAAAGCGGAACAGAGCAAGAAGCAAGTGATTCAGATGGGTCTTCAGTGTCGGAAGAGAGTTTTCCTTCGAATTTACAAATTGAGAATACTGAAGATGAAGAATATTTAGAGGATGTACCGCTTAAGTACTTGAGGCGAGGTCGTTTTACTGGAAAAGACAAAAGAACTCGCTGGCAAGTTCGTGAGCCGCCGCGACGTGTACGAACAAGATCCCATAACATTATATATCATTTGCCGGGACCGATTGGCGAAGGCAGATCTTGTTCATCTATGTTAGAAGCCTGGAATCTTGTTTTTCCGGAAACGTGTTTACTAAAGATAGTCCAGTATACTAACATTTATATAGAAGAGCTAAAGTCTAAATTCTCAAGAGAACGCGATTGTAAAAGTACAGATATCGTTGAACTTAGAGCTCTTTTTGGATTACTTTATTTCTGCGGAAGATTGCGAAGTGGTCATCTGAACACAAAAGATCTCTGGGAAAAAGATGGAAGTGGTTCCGACGTCTGTATAGCCACAATGTCACGAGAAAGGTTCCATTTCTTACTGCGGAGTTTACGGTTTGACAATATTCGTAGACGAGGTGAAAGAAGGCAAACAGATAAGCTAGCACCCATTCGCGAGATTTTCGAAGAGTTCAATAATAATATAAAAAAATATTATGCTGTCGGCGAAAATGTAACAATCGATGAAAAGTTGGAGAAGACTCGCGGCCGTTGTCCATTTCGGCAATACATACCCAGCAAACCCGGTAAATACGGTATAAAGATATTTGTGTTGGCTGACGCACGAACCTTCTATACAAATAATATGGAAATTTATGTTGGCAAAAATGATGGGCCTTATGATCACAGTAATTCACCAAGTGAAGTCGTCAAACGCTTAGTAGAACCTATAAAGAATAGTCATCGTAACATAGTGATGGACAATTGGTTCACTAGTTTTCCGCTATTACGTGATTTGCTCAATGATTATGGTTTGACAGCATTGGGTACTTTGAGAAAGAATAAAGCTGAAATTCCACTTGTATTTACCTCAACCAAAGACCGGGAAGTACACAGTTCCCTTTTTGGATTTCAAGATAATTGTACTGTTGTGTCTTATGTTCCAAAGAAAAATAAAGTCGTGCTCTTGGCGTCAACTATGCACCATGATGGCAAAAAAGATTCTGGAGAAGAAAAAAAGCCCGAGATGATCATGGACGTGGTCGTCGATGAGTGGTCGTGGTGGATCGTGGATGAGATGTGTGCTACCTACTCAGTAGCACGAGCTACCAAAAGATGGCCATTGGTTTTGTTTTATGGTCTTTTGAACGTCGGCGGCATCAATGCGTAGGTGATAGTGAAGGCAAATAAAGTAAATAGTGGAGCTGTGATGGCTCAGAGAAGGATCGCTTTGAAAGAACTGGCTTTGGCCCTTGTGATGCCACAGATAAAAAAGAGGTCAACAGTAGCTAATTTGCCAAAAATTATCAAAACAAAAATTGATTGTATGCTCAATGCTGACTCGAATGACGAAGCCACGCACACAAGCACACCCTCAGCTTTGCGACCGTCCACATCTGCTTCCCGTTGTGCAGTATGTGAATGGAAGAAGGACCGAAAAACTAAGACGTCTTGTAAATTGTGTTCCAAAAGAATATGCCGTGAGCATACGACCCCAATTTGTGGCGATTGTTATGTCAAAGCAAAATAGTTAGATTAGGTACAAGTTTTTTGAAACATAATGTTTGACGATTATTTTCTCGATGTTCATTTAATATAAACAGTATTTTATTTTTTGTTGTTTTGGTAGTGTATAAGGTCGTTTTATAATTTTTGATCTCAATTTTACGTGATACCTAAGAAAAAAATTGTTTTGTTGATTTTTCTAAGACTATGAAGAATTTTTGTTAGAATTTGTATTTTTTTTAGGATAAGCTATAATTTGAAATAAATAATAATTCAAACTTTTAATTTTCTTTTATTTATTAGACATTAGTATTAATAAACTAAATACACCATTAAAGTTTGTAATGCAAACTTATTTTTCCAAGATAATGTCATTTAAATTATGTGGTATTTTTTACCCGGTAGCGAGTATTCGTGCATGTAAACACCTAGCGAGTACCGCCGGGTTAAAATTATTACAATGCCTTGCAAATAAAAGTTCTGAGTTTGTTCATTAAATCAAATGTTTTCAAAGATTTAACCTCTCATTACCTCGAAAAACCAGCAACTTGGAACTATAAAATTTTACTAATCAAATCTGTAATCAAATCCTACGCTGATGTACGCCTTCATTATATTCATAAAAATGTTAAAAAACAAACTGGCAAACATACAATAAACTAATTTTATTTCATGGACAATAAACGATAACTAATATTAATAATGTGTTATATTTTTAAACCTGCATTTATTTTTCACATTACTACTGTATTTATTTTTATTTACACGTCGTGCGCGCGTCAGCGTCTTGCAAACGCACACATTCAAAAACTATCTAAACTATTTAAATCTTTGCCCAACATTACTTTGAACAATAAACATGAATGTCAATTATTGTAACATTTTAGGAATAAAGCAATATCTAAAGAAGGATGCCCATTTTTTACCTGACTATGTATAGAAATGAAATAAATCTTAAAATTCAGCCAATTGAATTCTAAATTAAATACGCGTATCACAATGTTAAAAGAGACGCAGGAGAAAAATATTTTTAATATTTATTTATGCTAATTCTACGTCAAGGGTCGAACTTATTACCACTATATTTTGAACGCACCTTAACTACCCTTTGTCTAGGACGTTTCATTTCACATACTGCTAGGTACTTGACTTAATTGAACTCTGTTTCTGAGTTTTAAACATTAAATATATATATATAATATTTCTTTATTACTCTTTGTATAGTACAGGCGATTTAAAAATAATATAATAATTAAATAAATTAATCATGCCGTATGTCATTGAGTGCACACGAGCGAAACGGATTTTTTTACATTTGACAGTTCTACAATTGGCATCGGTGCAGTCCTTCGTTGTTGCCAAAGAGAATATAATCACTTGTTGTGTTTGCGTTTCGTTGTGTATTGTGCCATTTTGAGTGTTTTTCCTGGATCATATAAAATAGACATATGTAGGGATACACAAGATTTTTCTCAGTATAATCTCAGAAGAAGTGGTGATAGAACATTAATAAGAGATAGAAAAATTAAGTATTCGGTTACGGCAAATCCTAGACTAAAGAGTAACATTAATATTTTTGGGCTTCGTAGCGTTTAAATCGTAAAAATGACTACATGACATTATTTTCTAAACTTACAGGAAGTTTTTCTACTGTACCTTATAACTATACATAAACTTTTACTCTCAGGTTTTTAAATGAATGAAAAGTGGGCATGGTTCTTTAATTATAAGTTATTTCAGCTGAACTCATCGATCTCTCATTTCGTTTTTTAAGATAAAATTTTATCTTTATTTGATACAAACCTTAATTTAAAAATGTATACAAGGTGTCCAGTAAATAGTACGACATAGTGCAGGTGGCGATAGCTTGGGTCAATAACTACCGAAACAACACAATATATGTTCCGTAAAATGTTACGGATTCAAAGTTATACTAAATTTTCCAAAATATCTAAAATTTCTACCTTGAACCAGATTTTTATTTTTCGTCTCGTAACGAAAAATTCCTTTTCTACTATTTTTTTACATCAATTTATTTGTGAATAATCATTCTACTCAACGATAAGTCTTTTTTTTTATCAAAAACAAAAATGTGTTCAAGAAATTTTTAACAGTGGTAGAGCCACGCGGCAGCTTTTGCTGTCGCACGGATGGGCCGGCTCGAACCGGGGTGGTACCACGACCTCACAGAATACCAGCGTGAAGTAGAGGCTTACCTCTGCATTTCGCTTGGTGAGTGCAGGTGGCCGGAGGCCCTTTTTACTGGAAATGAGGCATTCCATCTTAGTCCTCACGGGTGACAACGCATCTGCATTTTGATTCGCAAACGAGGATAGATGTAGATGTCTATGGGCCGCAGCAACCACTTAACATCAGGTGGACTGTGTGCTCGTTTGTCACCCTTATCCTATTAAAAAAAAAATTAAATATTTTTCACTGAACGATTTTCTTATCGCTTCACTTTAACCTACAGTGGTGAAAAAAATATGTATGTAACAGTTTTGTACAATAACCTTAAAAAATGGCTTGTTTGATGGTGGTTTCGGAAAGATACAACACTAGCGCATTTTCTTTAACCCTTAACACCACACGTGGGGGAGTAAGCTCCCCCACCGCTCACAATTTAGAAAATATTTTAAATGTTTGAAACGTAACGCGGTTGAGTGTTCGTGTATTCCCAGTGCCGCCCGAGGTCTCGCGGGGAGTGGACGCGCGCCTGGCTATTGTGCTTAGTTCAAGAGGTACGAGTCGATGGGGGAGCCTAGTCCCCCACGAGTGTAATAACGTTAGTTTTTTTGTTGTTTCATTTACTTATTTATTTGTTTTTTTTTTAAGTTTGTGGCGCAATATGGATAAAAATTTGAATCCCCAGCAGATACAAGATCTGTTGAATGACTTAGACTGTGATGAAAACGTGAATGAGGACATTTTTCCTGATGCATCATCGGATTTGAGTGACGCGGAGTCTGAAATCAGTGATCACAATACTGAAAGTGAAGAAGAAGCGGAAAATATCTCTGAAAACGAAGACTCAAGTGACATCGATGAACAAAGCCGAAACAGCAATTCTTTTTATGGCAGAAACAGGTACAAATGGTCGAAAGTACCACCATCGCGATCACGAGTGCCAGCACATAACATTATTATTCATTTACCTGGTCTAAGAGGTCCTGCACAAGTCAAAAATGAAATATCTCCATTGGAAGCATGGTCTTGTATATTTACTGAAGATATGATTGAATTGATTTTACAACATACTAATGAAAAAATCACAAATTATTCAGAAAACTATACATCTGACTCAGTCTATACTTACCATGTCACAAGAGAGGAAATTTTGGCATTTATTGGGTTGATGTTTTTGACAGGCATATTCAAATCTGCGAGAGAAGATGCTCGGGGCATATGGTCAACTAAAACAAGGGGTAGACCTATTTTCAGAACAGTTATGAGTCTAAATAGATTTTTGTTTATCTTATCATGCCTACGATTTGACGAACAACTTACACGAGAAGAACGAAAAAAGACAGACAGACTTGCTCTAATATCAGAATTGTTTAACAAGTTTATAAAAAATTGTATCACTAACTACAGATGCTATGAGTACGTTACTGTTGATGAAATGCTCGTTCCTTTCAGAGGTCGATGTATTTTCCGTACGTACATGAAATCAAAACCAGCGAAGTATGGGCTGAAAATAATGTGTTTATGTGATGCAAAAACACATTACTTGTACAATGCCTTTATTTATTCAGGAAAAGAGCAAACTTCTCGAGCTAATACATTGTTGATACCAACAAGGAACGTTTTGACACTGACTGAACCAATTTACCAAACTAACAGAAATGTAACTGGTGATAATTGGTTCTCATCGATTGAGTTGGTTGATGCTTTGAAACAGAAAGGTCTAACTTATGTAGGCACTATTCGTAAGAATAAAAGAGAAATTCCTTTGCAGTTTCTTCCTCATAGGAGCAGGCCAGCTCTCTCGTCAATCTATGGCTTTCAAAAAGATAAAACACTTGTGTCTTTTGTACCGAAAAAGAACAATAGTATTGCGCTCATATCCTCCATGCATCATGAAACTGTAACGAATCCTGAAACTAAGAAACCAGAGATCATTGAATTTTACAATTCTACAAAAGGTGGCGTGGATGCTCTTGACCAGAAGTGTGCTGCTTACAGTGTCAACAGGAGAAGTCAAAGATGGCCAACTACAATATTCTGTGCGATGTTGAATATATCAGGAGTAAACAGTCATGTTCTATATTGCGCCTCAAACCCTCAAAAGCGTATGAGCCGTTACAAGTTTTTAGAAGAACTTGCATACGCTTTAGTAACTCCACATGTTATGAATAGAAGATCTATGACAAATCTTTCAAAAGAGCTGAAAGATATGATTGACAAGTTTCTCCGTGAGGTTGGTGTTGAGCTACCTGAAGATCAACCTGCACAAGGACAGAGCCAAAATAAGAGACCAAAGAAATCGCGCTGTCATTTGTGCCCACGGCTCAAAGACAGTAACACCCCAAGAGTGTGCTCAAAATGTATGAAGAATGTGTGCCGTAATCATTCTGTAGACGTAATAGTATGTGCTAAATGTCAGGAAAAGTATTAATTGGGCTAAAATACATTATTTTGATAGAAAATATTGAGACTGAAATGAGGTTCCTAAACTTGAATGATTTTTGATATTTTCTAAGTACTATGTGCATTCCTCTTGTGATTTTAGACGTTTAAGTATTTTTGTAGATTTTTATGTATTATTTGTAATTCATAACATATGAGTAACTACAAAAAAGACTCGATTTAGTTCTTGTTTCTACTTTTAAGTCATAATCGCTTTTCAAAGTAAACTCTTAAAATTTAACGTGTTTTTTGTGACTTGTTTTGTTTGACGCTAGAAATGTATATTTTTAAGTTTAAAGTTATAAATAAATACTCTAATAACATTCAAAAAATGTATTTTATTTATTTCGTAGAAAAAAAACTGGTCTAGTAATGCAAATTGGTACTGATATATGATTTTTCTTTTTGGAGGACCACGCTCCCCCACGTGTGTAGATGCGTGGCCAGAAATAGCGTGTGGTGCTAAGGGTTAAAAATAATGAAAATTATGCTATTATTGTTCCAGATAAGCTGATTTTTTTTAAAATGCAATTAACGTAATTTTGACACAAACTAATACGAGAGTACTCGTAATATTATTGCTGCTCATTTACGGAATCATTATAAAACAAGTTGTAACACCTTAAATGCGATATGCACGCATAATGGATAAAGGACTTTACCAGCTCGCCGACCCGACCCGACCGGTTAAGGGCCTTTTAGACGGTCGGTACCAACCACCAACCGTCATGACCTTAGTCGAGTTGATGTAAAAATGGACAGTGTAGACATCGGTTGTCTGACCAATATTTTGGTTGATGTCCGACGGCCTTGGTCGGGAGCGCATCACTCACGACACGTCGGGACCACTAATAAATATTCTTTTCTCCTTAGTGATGTTCCTATCGGGGAATGGTTTCATGATATTTGTTTAAAGTGCAAATGAACTATCTCCTAAAAAACATACGGTACTGTTAAGTTTGTACCTAGCAGTATAAATGATTCTGGCAACTCAAGGTCATCGTTGATAAGTTTTTCATAGAACCTGGTGGCTTTGAGTATTCCTCCATCTGACATACTTCCATTTAAACCCGTATGAACATAAATGAATTCGTAGTTTGCATTGACAATATACACTAAATATACCCTTATAGTTGTAGAACAATGATCCCGTTCCGGATGGTTTTTCGATTATAACATGCTTGCCATCCATGCAACCTACACAGTTGTGAAATTGCTATTGTTTTTGAAAAGATTTCGTATTTCCCATTCATATTTCGATGAAGGTAACTGAAACAATTTTTTTTTCAGATATCCAGATCATCAGAACATGAGAAGGGCAGAAAAAAGCTTAATATATTGGAGATAAAAAAAAATACTGCACAAGAATTATTGCAAAGCGATGATAGAAAAGAAAATCAGAAGGAAATAAACTCATTTGGTTTGTACGTAGGAGAACAACTAGATCGGCTTGAAACATTTCAACGCCAAGTGGCTGAGAAACTAATTTCTGATGTTCTTTTTCTTGCAAAAACAAGAAAGCTTAATCTTTATTCAAGAATTGAAACGAAAAGATCTCGAAATTTCCCTATTTTTCAGATGTCATCGTCACCACAAAATACCCAACTATCACCATCCCCAAATTACATTCAGTCATCATCATCTCCATATCACATTCAGACATTAACATCACCACATCCCATCCAACCATCACGATCACACCCTACCATACCATCACCTAGTCACCACTCTACATCTAATGATACGAATATAATAATATACGAAGGACCCGCTAGTGCAATAAGTGAATTTGTAATTTTTAAAAAGGATAAATAAATGTCATTGTAATACACTACCTTGATTGTTTTCTTTAAAACCTTGTATATCGCCCAACAAGTTTCAGGTGTAATTTTTGAAAGCAATTGAAATGATGTAACATGATTAGCGGCGGCGGTGGATACTACGCGGAAATTTCCCGTCATAGACTAAAAACCACTTCTTAGTATTAACCACCCAAATTGTGTCAACCGTGTTTTTATTTTGTTTTCAAGCCTATTGGGACTAACTTAAATTAGTATGATTGTAAATTGGTTTCGTATGCAATGCATTACGTTTTTATTTGACTCTTTCAAGTCTTTCTGTGAAACTGGTGCAAGTGGTTATTTTGTTTAAGGACTTGAGAATTTAAAATGCCTAATTCATCTGATGATAGTGATCAAAGCGGACCATCAACTCCAAAAAAAGCAACAAAAGATACATTATAAACAAAAATTCAGAGACGAGTGGTTAAAAGACAATAGTTTCAAAACTTGGCTGAAACGTGACCCAAAAGACCCGTATCGTACAGTTTGTGTTATGTGTGATGCAAAATTGATAGCTGACAGAGTAGTGATAAAAAGACATGGTGAAGGTGCTAAGCATGTAAAAAGAACTACAGCAGCGCCAGCTCAATCTTCGATTGCTACTGCATTTGAAAAGGTTAAGCAGTCCGATGATGATAAATGCAAAGCATCTGAGATAAAGTTGGCCGCTTTTATGGCAGAGCATAAAAGATCCATGAGGGTGATGGACTACTTAGTTGATTTATTGCCCACTATGTTTCCTGACTCTCAGATTGCAAAAAATATGAAAATGAAGAGAACAAAATGTCAAGCAATAATAAACAATATTCTAGGAGAATCAGAAAAACAAGATTTGTGTGCAGATCTAAAGGAGCAAAAATTCTCTGTCATGATTGATGAAAGCCATGATATCGGAGCAGTAAAAACTATGTGTGTTGTGGTCAGATATTACTGTGCACTAAATGGTCAAATTGTTAGCAGATTTTAGGACCTAATTCAAATACATGGCGAGGAAAACACTGCTCCGGTAGCTACCGCCACAGCACAACATCTTTTCGAAGCAGTAATAAAATCTTTCGAGGAAAATTCTATTCGTATTGAAAATATTATAGGATTTGGATCAGACGGGTGTAATACTATGATGGGGTGTCACAACTCTGTTTCGAGTCGATTTAGAGCAAAATGTCCCGAAATTATCGTTCTTAAATGTGTTTGTCATTCCCTGCATCTTTGTGCGAGTGACGCATGCAAACAGTTACCAGCTGAATGTGAAAAGCTAACATGTGATATTTACAATTATTTTGCGACCAGTAGCAAAAGACAATCGCTATTAAATGAGTTTGAAGTATTCACAGAAACAGATATAGACAAAATTTTGAAACCGGCTCAAACGAGATGGTGTGTAAGTGCTGTAGTGCAAAGAATTTTAGAACAGTGGAATGCACTAACACTGTTTTTTGATGGAAGATGGCTTGAAGACAACGAATTTTCCGAAATCCATATGCAGTTGAATGATCCCATAACAAAATCATACCTTTTCTATTTAAACTGGATGTTACCTAAATTTACTGAAACTAATACGCTATTTCAGAGTGAGACTCCAATGATCACAAAACTTAACACTAAAATGAACGATCTTTTTCACGAACTTTTATCGACATATATGACAACGGCACATTTTGCAAACACTGTTTGCCACTCGCGACGCCCGCGTCGCGAGTGGCGAGGCGAGCTGCGAGACGAACCACGAGCTAGCGTTTACACTCGCACCTCGTGGCTCGCCTCGCGACTCGCTTCGCCGCTCGCGCGAGAGTTTAAACGGGGGGTACCAAAAGAAGCAGATGTGCTATCTCGCTCTTTTTTATATTGTGGTTTTGTATCTCACTCGTTCAACCTCATCTACGATGCTTGTCAGTACGCTACCTTAAGCCGTGCAAAGCGCATCTCAGTGTTTACAAATTATTGTTTCGTACTGACGACTGTTTTGCGCCTTGGGCCCGAACTTTGTTTAACCATATGACATGGACAATGCTGTATGACATGGCCAGCCGCCGCGTTTTTTTTTTTTTGAGTTACACACAGCGACAGTATGCTGAGATGCATCTTATTTACGGAGAAGCTGGCCAAAGTTCCAAAGCTGCTGCTACCCTCTACGCGGAAATATTTCCTGATAGGAAACATCCACACCACGAAATGTTTACCAGAGTTCATAACTCCTACATGGGTGCAAGTGCACGGTCTCAAGTTGTTGACGAAGACATAGTGCTACAAAACGAGAACAAGACCCAACAACTTCGGTTAGGGCTACACAACGGCGCACAGGGATACCGAAGTCTACCGTTCATTCAGTGCTCAAGAGGCATGGATACCAACCATGTCACGTATGACGCGTGCAAACTCTGTTAACGGGAGACTACGCGCCGAAAGTTCAATTCTGCCGCCGCATGTTTGAAATGCATCGGGAGGACTCCAATTTTTTTTAATAAGGTGCTATGGAGTGATGAGTCAGCCTGCAGAAAGGACGGCTACATGAACTTACATAATTTACATAATTAGCAATTAGAAAATCCGTATGAGTCAAGAGAAGACAGGTCTCAATACCAATTTCAAATAAATTTATGGTGTGGGATTTTTAATGGCCACATTGTGGCGTTCGAGCTTCCACCTACATTAAATACAAGCAAATACTTGGAGTTTTTACGAGAAACCCTACCCACGCTCCTTGAAAATGTTCCCAGTGAGCTAAGAGACACAATGTGACTTCAGAATGATGGGTGCCTTGCTCATTATGGTCGGCAAGTAAGAGACTACTTGCACGAAGCTTACCTAGGCAGGTGGATTGAGCGACTGGGACTTATATTGTGGCCACCTAGGTCTCTGGACCTTAATATAATACCTTTTTATTGGGGCTGCATGAAAGACAAAATCTACGAAAAACCGATCCAAAATGACTAGAGAATTGAGAGCAAGGGTTAACATTGCAGCAAGACAAATGGCACAAATGAGCCTGAGAAAACTTATAAACTCATTCTTAAGAAGATTCCGAGCATGTATTATGACACAAAGAAAGCAATTCGAGCATTTATTGTGGTTTCTTTAAATATATTTTTTAATTTAAGTGAAAGTCTACTGTTTTTACTATCGTATTACCTTATCCTTCGAGATGTCA